CATCGGGGTGACATTAAGGTCACTTGTATTTTTGTAAGAATTTGGGAGGCATTTTGTTATTCAAGTCATGTCGACTCTAGTCCTTTCGAGGAGGAGGATGAAACTTAAATATTAAACCCACGCAGCATTCTCGAATCGTTAGATTTGAGATTTATATGCGACGATCGGAGCACATGCGGGTAATATCATTTGACCCTGCGCAGCATTCTCGATTATTTGTGTTTGTACTTATAATAGATTTATCGGAGCACATGCAGGGATTGATTTTAGTTTAAGGGATCATATTTAATATATAAGGGGCATTTTAAAATATTTAAATATGATCAAATTATGAGAGTGATTTTTATTTATAAAATGTCCAAGATTTCACTTAAGGGCCTACGAACGCCTTCTGTCCACTTGTACACATGTTGCGGATCCGGTGGCATTGTTCTAATTTAGGTTTCATTTATAGCACATAGAAGATATTCTTTTGTTATTAATATCTCACTCAACATAACTTACAGAGAATGCTTGTTTGATGGGCATTAGGAGATCATGCTAGTATTCGTAGGGCAATTATCATGCTTGTTATAAATTCCCTTATTCTCTCCCATGAATAAATTGATTTATTTGATACAAGCTCCTTGTCCTTGCTTGCAGACTAGTTGTTGTTGAGGGTGATCTAGACAATTTCTCAATTTCTTGGAGTATAAGGTCTTACTGATTTATGAGAATCATCGGTTCTTCAAATCATCATATTGTGATCAATTGCCTTATAAGTTAGTTCACATTTGTAGGAAGTTTGGTCAATATAACATAATCATCTTGATATTGCATAAGCAACATAAGCAAGATACCTTAGTGACTTAGAACATAATAAAAATCTTCCATCAAATAAAAAAAATATTTTATGGATGCGGACTTAATTATTAGCCTTAGTTAAAAATCTTATACATGATTAAAGTTGACACTACAAATTATGTATAGAGCAAGTTTCTAGCATCCAATCTCCTTCCATGGACTTCAAGAAAATTTTCACCTTCATTTAGAATGTAGTCGTACATGATTTTTCTTCTGTGTGTGTAGTGTTTTCTGCAATGGCCTGCAGATATTTGCATTCGTCGCTAATTTCTAAGTGACTATTTAAAATTCAAGTCCTTATAATCATGTTGACTGCAAGTATGGTTTGAGTTCAAATTTGAGTCCATTTCGAGTTTAAGTTCAAGTCTAAAATTATTTGATCGAATATGATTTAAAATTCATTTTATGTTTAAATTGAATTTAAATCAATTTTTTTGGATGAAGCATCGTGAGGTGGGACCAGTGTCGGTTGTGTCGAGTATGTCGGTGAGGGAGTCGGTGATATGAGCAGTTATAGTCAACACCGATGTCCCCATCACTACCTCTAGGATAGCTACTAGTGGCAATTAAATATTTGATGGCATAACCTTCCAATGTAGTGTCCTGATAATTAGATGGAAGGACTTGGGGGGTTTCTTATCTTTCATCTGCCAATTGGATGTTTTACGACTTTGAATGTAAATTTGATGTGATTTCATTCATATGGACATTGCTGACATTCTCTTAGGAATGCCTTGGATTTATGATACAAATGTCACTCACTATGGTTGTGATAACATTTTTATGTTTAAATTCAAACACAATGCCATATAGCTTTTCCCAATCAAGGCTGTAGACATGCCCAGAACCCCATCTCCACACAAGTCCATTCTGAATTGCAGCCCAAACATTCTTCATCCAAATTTGCCAAACTACAATTGATATTTCTTGGATTTGCTACTGAGTGGGCACCATTCATGACATTTCTCTGATGAGGTGTCTATTTCATCTTTGATATAATTTGATAACATGTTAGCCATTCTATTATTATGATATAGTTTTATGATTGCACTTTCTTTACATTCTTCATGTGAAGGAGTAAAGTTAAGACACATCAAAGCTTATATATTGTTATGGTCTTTGATTTTTGATTTGAAGTTAGTGATATGTCAATTGAGGAGCATCTTGATACTCGTCCACCTATGGGATGTATTCAATGTTACATTAATTTTGTTGTGGGATTTGAAAATTCATGCCCAACTCTTCTATGAGAGTTTGTGGTTTGGGGTCAAATGTTCGAAAGGCAGATTATATTGTATATAAGATACTATTCCATATTTAACCCTCATTTCACGAGGAATTTAAGATATGGCTTTAGGTTTCTCATTGGTGCAGGCTCCTAGGTTAAGTACCTTTCCTGACGACAATAGAGAACTTTCGGCTAATACTAGTTGATATGAGCTAAGTGCTTAATGTATCAGGTGCTAAATACTTAGCATATAGTAGCAACGATTTGATTGTTTAGTAGAGAAATTTACTGCCTAAAGCTTAAAATGGATGATGGGGGGAATGGTGACAATCCTGGTATAGATTCCATGGTTCTATTATCCCACATTGTCACAAACCCTAGTCTATTTACACAGCAGAGGTAGTGGGCCTAATCTGACCAAAGGGTCATTATAGAGAACGATAAATTATCTCGTCTAAGTGGATTTTACAGAACTTAGGTTGATGTTTGCCTGAGGGTATAATTTTAAGTTAACCTTAACTAATAGAAGGCTTTGTGCATTATCAAGTGTACTATGCTGAATGTCTGACGAGTATGACGATCGATCGATGCATGCGACACTGCACAAGGCTGGTTTGATGTGCCCCGTACTATGAAAAATTACTCGAAACATCGTCCCTTACATAATGAATGACACTATGCTTGTTCATGCGCAACTCTGAGGACCAACGAAAATAATAGAATGAGCGCGAATGACTTCCGATCACGAAATAGACTGTGTAATTGCGTTTTGAACATAGAAATTAGTCAAGAAAGACCTCTCGCGATCAACTCAAGCGAAATTGGTCTAAAATGACAAATCATGTGTGCGACGTTACAAAAAATTTATACCAAATGACTATCATTTGCAAAATAGACCCCTCCATCGCATCTGGCATGCCCAATGCAAGTTTCTAGATAGATGGAAGGATCATCTTTTTTAGTCATTTTGAAGATTTATGACAAATATTTCATCCCCCAAGAACAACAAGTAAAAGAGTTATAAGGCATTGTAAGTCCTAGATATAGTTATGATACCAAAATTACTTTTTAGTTGCATTTATCATAATTTGATTATTCTTCAAGATTCCATGTAATGTTTGTATTTTGTTAATGTAATGCTTCTAAATATCATGCATTTTGTAAGAAATAAAGTTTATGTTGAATTGTAATCACATGGGATACATTTCCTTTTTCTATTTGGAGAGCTTGGTTGCTATTCCAATTTTTCATTGGTTAGGTGACTTGGAAAACCCCTTCTTTGGTTAAAGGTTTAACATTTTCATTTTAGTTCTATTTTGTGTTATCTTTTTCTATAGTTTAAATCCATATACCCCTCCTAAATGTTCCAGAGCTTCTCTCTAAGTTCCAATACTTTTTTTCTTTCTTCTCAAGTTAAGACCATAGTCAAAATCTATCTCAATCCAATCTCTTAGCTTTTCCTCAACTTCACACAAAAAATCCATAAAACCTCTAACTCTCGGAACTGCTTAGTATATTAAGCTTTCTATAGAATATTTACATCCAGCATATTTGCCTACCCAACCTTCTCTTAAACTCCATATGAAATTAGGCTTTTGAAAATACCCCAAGACCAACCATCCTTCCAGTAGGTCTTGACCAACATTAGAAATTCACATTGCCAAAGTTTTCAAAAGCTCGAATCACTTCTAGAGGTCCTCCTATATTCCCAAATCAAATAAAATTCCTCATATCAATCCCCCCTACCCCCCCTGCACACTTCATTATATCCCTTTGTAAATGCCTTTTGCATTCATGCATAATAAATACTAGTCACATACAAGAATTCCAAAAATACACTGAATTGTGCTACACTCCCAAAACAAATCAACACTTAAATTAGAAATTTTTTTTGGTTCTTGTGCGATGTGGATAGAAGGTCTACTCTTTTTGATTAGGCCACATAAATTGTAGGCACTAGAATCATGAAATTCTTATTTTAAATTTGGATTTATTTGGTGAGAATAGGATCACTCAAAATAAATGCATATAGAATCCCGTTCTTATCTAGTGTCTTTCTTTCTGATATTAATCATGCTTTGATTGATGTTGAGCATGAACTTTGAGTGTAGTTCGAGCAAAAAAAAATGTTATATTTTTGAGAGATTTGATTTGCGTTATTCATAGTTGTAATTTAGCTTTGTTGATTAAACATATTTTTAATTAGTTTTCAACACGAATTGAACCTCCATTTCCATGCTAGTTTAATGTAGTTTACAAATTGTTTCACTCCTATTTTGTGGTTGTATTCTTCTTGGAGAAAAGTACCCTTTCTAAGCACTACTTAGTTCATTTATATTACGTATGGCTTATTTCTTTTAATCATCAAAATATATAATATCAATGTGTCTTTCTTGCAGAATTATATAAAACGGGAGGACTCGATTGGTGATCCAGCACGTGTTCAAGTTCTTTATGAACGTGCTCTTGCTGATTTTCCTGTATCAAGTGATTTGTGGCTTGGATATACTAGCTACCTCGACAGGACATTGAAGGTTGCTTGCATGACTTCATTATTTGACTTGCCAACTGGTGCTTTCTGTCGAGTTATGATAGTTTATATTCTACAGGTTTCTGAATTTGTCAAAGATGTTTATTCAAGGGCCACAAGGAACTGTACATGGATAGGGCAGCTTTGGATCAATCATATGCTTGCATTGGAACGCATGTCTGCTTCAGAGAAAGAGCTGAGCACTGTAGGATCATCCATCTGCATTTCAATTTAAATTTAAATACATGTTTTGAGGGTAGTTTGTGTGCAAAGGTTATCTTTCTTGCATGGTAATAATAACAACAACAACATCAAGCCTTCAACCCATTGTGGGGTCGGTAACACGAATCATTTTTCTCCATTGTGTCCTGTTAAGAATCAAATTCTCATTTAAATCTAATAAAGAAATGTCATTTCTAATATTTTCTAACCAAGTCTTTGTAGGTCTACCTTTACCCTTTTTTTAACAAAAGTTAAATCTAATACATCTACTTTCCTAACCGGGTCATCAGAAGGCCGCTGTTTTATGTGACCAAACCATCTAAGATGATTCTCTCTACTCTTATCTTCCACTGGAGGTAGTCCAACCTTTTCATGTATATGCTCATTTCGTATCCTGTCTCTAAGAGTAAAGCCACTCATCGACCTGAGAATTTTCATCTCTGCAACACTTAACTTAGTATTTTGCTTCTCTTTTAATGGCCAACATTCGGTACCATAAAGCATTGCAGGTCTCAGCACCATCTTATAGAATTTTCCCTTAAGTTTGAGGGGGACTTTTCCATCACACAAGAAGCCCGATGCATTCTCCACTTCAACCATCCAATTTGAATTCTGTTGATAATATCCCCATCTATTTCACCATCACTCTGAACTATAGATCCAAGATATCTAAAACGTGTACTCTTATTAATGACTTGATCGCTCAAAGTTACAATCTTCTCACTAGGTCTATTATTACTAAAATTACACTCCATGTATGAGTTGCCTAAAAGTCTTAGGCTTATAATTTTGGTTTTGAGAATGATCGTATGTGGGACTTTATGAATCAAATATTGAAATTGACCTAATGACGTGTTCTCTGACATCTCCTGGCAAGTTTTGTGGATTATTTAGTGGAATTTAATTTTTGATGCAGTGCACAGTTTTACACTTTGAGATGATTCACTGGCACTTTGACATCAACTAGGTGTTAATAAGATCAAACCTTGGTCCTCGACTTATTTGCCTGATCAAATGAGTTAACATTATATATATTTGAATTAAGACATTGGGGCATTATGGTGATTTGGTTCTTGGTGGAATATTTTTGTTCTTTTGCCCCTGAATGAGGCGTTGTAGTCATTTGGTTACTCAAACCATTTGACATGGGTTTTTAATCGTTCAAAATTTATGAAGACATTGACAAGCTTTCTAGTGCATTGATATGCATGTTGATGTACTAGAAATGGACCTAAATTGTTGCATTCCATTTATGGACATTTAGTAAATATATTAAGGTGCTTTATTATTTAACTATAAGTTTATGCATTGGTGAATGGGCACATTTTATAAGATAATACATTGAGTCGGTTCAGGGTTGATCATGAACTGTATTATCATGGGTAGAGCTTCTTGAACTCTACTCCATAGGACTTTATGGGAGTTTACTATAATTTCTGTTATTTTAAACCCCAACATTTTATAATTTGTTTTTTTAATTTATAATTTTAAGCCTACCCATCCTGTAATAAACCTGATATTTTATTGTAATTTAAACATCGGGACTCTATTAAGTATGAAATATTACTTTGAGAAATTATTTAATAGATGATTTTAAGGTATACATATTTATAAAAGCATAAGGAGCAAAATAATGAGACATATCTTGAAACTAAAACTTCAGGTCTAGTAGAGATTTCTATTAAAATTTAGAGAGCTATGAGTGATATTGAATTTGTTTCATAAAAAAATCTTTTTAATGGAATTTTGAAGAATAAGTGGATGCTAAATAATTGTAGAAGCAATCTTTTGGCACTAGCATTTAAGAAAAAATGAGATGATCAAGATTGTGATAATTATATACTTCTTTTTTGGGGATTTGTCTCATTGAATTGTTATATACTTGTATAATAACATGGGTAGAAGTTCAGAAAGATTTGTATAGAATAGATTAAGCATCTCTTGAAACACTTAATTTGAATGAATGATAAAATGAAGGTTCATAAAGCTAATCCTAAGTTGTCGTTATAAAGTTAATGATGATGATAATTGTGATGATCATATTTCAGAATATTATGTGTCATTAATGCGATTTGGATTTTTTTTTTAAATTCTGGGCGGGCTTAAGTTCTTTATCTTGACAATGTGTTTGTGCATGGTGCATATGTTGGAGTGACTTAGTATTTTGTTCTGTTTGCTAGGTCTTTGAGCGGGCAATTCAATGCTCATTCCCTGGCGTGCAAGAGGTAATTCTTTTGATTCATTGCATCCTCAAGTGCTAGTTTTAACTGTTTACCTCTGATGGAACACTTTATCCTGTAGTTGACATCCGACCTGTTCAATTTCTCCTCATATTGTCTATTAAATGTTTTTTTGACATGACAAACGAGTGTAATTTATGTTATATGCTTCATGGTTTCACTCCTTTTGTATAGCTGTTTCACTATAGATAAACGAGAAGATCAATGATTTTAAAGACTTAAGAAATATAATGAAAATGGAAGGAAGAATTGGACTTCCTTTGATAATGTAAATAATTGTAGGAATTTCTGATAATAAAAAGTCTGCGTGCATATAGAATATTATAGATTCTACATGACTATGCCACTATGTACGAACATATGCAACTTTAAAGTGCAAGTGTTTCTATGCTCGAAGGTTTATACACATTTGTAGGCTTCATGAAATCAATGACAATGAGGGCTGAGTTTGGTAGAGTAGATTTTTGGCTCCAAGCCATCTTGATGCAACAGGCAAAATGTTAAATCCAAACAGATTCTCGACTGGTTTTAATTTTAATCATCTGAAAAAGCCGTAATGTATAATTGCAGATTGAACTTGTGCTGTTGTGTTATATTAATAATATTAAAATAGCATATTAATTGATTTAAATTATCTGCCATGAACTACACGATCTGTGTTTGAATAGTCCATAGTAGACTATTAAAGGAATCAATTTAACTTTGTTAATCTTGAATATGGATACTCTAGCGAAACCATTCTATACTGATCAGTCACTTGTTAAGCACTTTCATGTTGATTTCAACATAAGTTGCTTTTTATTATGTGGTTGGTAGGGAATGAATTGAATAATATCTTCTTATTTTTTCAGTGATCTTCTCGTTTATCTAGTAGTTTCTGTTTTTTTTTCCCAAAATTATCAAAGGCAATTTTGTGTTGTGTAATGCTTAAATCGAGTAATATGAGTTGATAAACTTGTTTAAATTTATCATTGTGCTATATCTTACTTGTATTAAATCCGATAAATCTTCTCCATCAGTCTTGGTGTAGAATGCAAATTCTAGTTGCTTTTGTAATCGGCAGTGGCTTTTTATTGGAATAAATATTTTGTGAGCGTACTTACCTATTTTCATGGTGAAATTTATTTTAATGCACCCACTTGAATAGCTGAATGGTAGAAGAGTAGAGATCAACATGCTGAAAGCATGATGCGGAAAAGGCAGTTCAAACTGGTAGATCCCTGATAATTGAAAGAGAGAAGAGAGAATGTTGGGAAGAAGATAACGACACCTGAAGCTATTTTATGCTGAATCCTCAAAGCATCTAAATATTGAAATCCTCAAAACAGGTTGTGTTGAAATGTACAAAGAAGGGACGTTTACATCTCATGCTTACGATCTTAACCATTCTTCATTAATGAGAGTCGCTTCGTTACGTAACTATTTATAATGGTAAAACTTGTTTTGAATGACAAATCTGCTTATATCGCTGTCTATGCTCACAAATAAATGAGGAAATATTACATTAATCTTGAATGACATGTCACATAAAGCAGTAAAATGACCTTGTAGATCATGAGGATAGTATCATATAAAACATGACATATAAACCATGATATAAGTGAGAACCTTATCCTGGAGATTTGAAGTATTGCTTAAGAAAGAAATGGATTAACTTTTTTACTGCATTAGTGAAATTCTTTTTGCCAAATAAAGGCAAATAGAAAATTCATCCTGAAAGGTAGAGATAAAGGAAGAGGTCATCTTGTGGATGAAGAGATGACTGGAAGGACTACTCCATTTTGTAGTAATATCAACATAAGGTTTCTATTGTAGATATTTTTGAGCACTTTTTATTAATTTTGAAATATAATCTATAAAACCTTGTAGATCTTTTTGCACATGATTGATTTGATTTATGCTCTTTATTTTTGAGACATGGAATAAAAAAACTTAAAATTTTCATTTGGGTTGGGTTGTGGTTAGCGAGCCTAAAAAAGCAAAGTTTGAGTGAGCTAAATATTTATTTTTGTTTGACTCTATTAGGTATGAAATATTGCTTTGTCTGACTCGCATGACCTAAAAGAATTAATACAAAAAATATCTCTCGAATAAAGTTTTTATTGGAGGAGATTTAAATGGACATGTTGGTAGAGAGGTGGATGATTTTAAAAACATTCATGGTGGCTATGACTTTGGAGCGACTAATAAATGTGCTAAGACCATACTAGATTTTTCTTTATCTTATGATTTTGTAATTGCTAATACTTCATTTAAAAAAAGAGACGAGCATCTCATCACTTATTAGAATGGATGTAGTACAACTTAGATTGATTATTTTCTTATAAAAAATAGATCGTTTAGATTGCAAAAATTGTAAAGTTATTCCGAATGAAAGTTTATTACCCAACATCGCTTATTAGTTTTGGATTTTAAGATGAAGGGGCAGAATATTAAAAATAAAGTAAATCATTGTTCTAGGATTAGATGGGGGCATTTAATGAATATTAATAAAAGTATTTTTGAGAGTAAGATTCTAAATCATAAGATTTTGTCTGTGCATGAAGATGCTAATGTTATGTGGAAAAAAGTAATTAGTGTTATTAAGAATGTTGCAAAAGATGTACTAGGAGTATCAAAGGGAAAAATTACTAATAGTAAAAATAATTGATGGTGGAATCAGAATGTGCAGGAAAAAATAAAAAATAAGAAGATTGTTATAAAAATTAATTTAGTTGTAAAAACTTTGATAATTAAGAAAGATATATAGAGGATCGTAAGGAGTCTTAGAAAATAATTTGTAATGCAAAGATTTTAGCTTGTAATCATTTATATAATCGATTAGATAATAAGGAGGGCTAAAGATATATGTATAAGTTAGCAAAAAAAAGAGATAAGAATTGTAAGGATTTATTTCAAGTGAAGTGCATTAAGAATGAAGATTAAAAAGTGATTTTATTAGAAGAGGATATTCAACAAAGGTGGATGAGATATTTTGCTAAACTTTTCAATGAAGATTCTGAGAATGTGATTGACTTGAGTGACCTTAGCACCCTAAATGAAAATAAATTTTTTTATTTTTATCGGCATACAAGTAAAATCGAAGTTAAAGAGGGCTTTAAAAAAATGAACTGGAAAAACTAGTGGACCTGATGATACTCCATTAGAACTGTCGAAAGGCTTAGGAGATAGAAGGAATTTCTTGGCTTACTAAAGTTTTTAATATTATTTTGAAGACAAAAGATGTCACATGAGTGGATAATGAGCGTGTTGATTCCTATTTTTAAGAATAAAGGTGATGCACAAGATTGTACGAATTATAGAAGAATTAAGTTAATGTGTCATACTTTAAAACTATGGGAGAGAGTTATGGAGCATAGGATGCGACATGATATTAATGTTTCTCAAAATCAATTTGGATTCATGCCAGGAAGGTCTACTATGGAAGATATACATTTATTGAGAGGTTTGATGGAGAAGTATATAGAGAATAAGGAGGATCTATAAATAATTTTTATTGCTTTAGAGAAAGCATATGATAAAGTTTCAAGAGAAGTGTTATGGAGAGTTTTACATAAGAAAGTGATTAATAATACTTATATTCAATTCATTAAGGATATGTATGCGGGAGCTGTTACTTGTGTTCAAACACAAGGTGGTTTGACCAAGTATTTTTCTTATTTCAGTTGGATTACATCAAGGATCAGCCTTAAGCCCATATCTTTTTTGCTTTGGTCATGGATATTCTCACTAGACATTTGCAAGAGGTTGCATGGTGTATGCTTTTCGTTGATGATATTCTTCTTGTTGATAAGGCTAGAGGGGGTTGTAAGTAAACTTGAATTATGGAGGTCAACCTTAGAGTCTAAAGCCTTTGTTTGAGTAGATCTAAAACTAAATAAATGGAGTGTACTTTTAGTAATAATGGATCTAGTGGAGGGATTGTGACATTGGATCTATTGTTTTAGAAGAGTCAGAGCAGGGCGAGCAAGTCATTAATAAGAGCACTAGTTTTAGATATCTTGGATCTATTGTTCAGAGTGATGGGGATATTATTAATAGAATTCAAGTTGGATGGTTAAAGTGGAGGAATGCATTAGGTTTGTTGTGTGATAGAAAAGTCCCTCTCAAACTTAAGGGAAAATTTAATAAGATGATAGTGAGACCTGCAATGGTTTATGGTACAGAATGTTGGCCATTAAAAGAGAAGCATAATATTAAGTTGAGTGTTGTAGAGACGAGGATGCTCAGGTGTGGGCTACGAAAATTCATCCCCGGCCTCCGTCCGCACTATTGCTTTCCTTCGGCGAGGGAGTTTAACGGATTAAGTTTTGGGGTAAATTTTGGAAGGCAGATAAGTTTGTAGATAAGACGCTACCCAGAGATTTCACCCTCATTTTATGAGGACTTTATGATCTGAGTTCTAGTTTCACGGATTAAGTTTTGGGGTAAATTTTGGAAGGCAGATAAGTTTGTAGATAAGACGCTACCCAGAGATTTCACCCTCATTTTATGAGGACTTTATGATCTGAGTTCTAGTTTCTTATAGGCGCAAGCCCCTATAGTTAATTACCCCTCCCGATAACGAGAGAGAACTTTCGATTAAGGCTAGTCGTCGATCAGATACGTAGAGATACGTGTTATCTAACATATAGCAGCAGCATAGGTTTGGATTTGGGAATTTGGAAAATTTGATATTTAAAATAGAAATTGCACCATCTTGCACTTAAAGCGAATGGTGGGGGAATGGATGATAGCCCGATCAAGATCCCATGGTTCCGTCGTCCCGGGCCATCGTGGTCCCTGGTCTACTTAGTCAGAACTTGATGAGCCTGAATTAAAAGCTATGATATTTATTGAAGATGATATAGAAGTTCAAAGACAAACCACTGAAGAAGCTAATCATATCATTTCTTCTATTGAATAGTTAAAACTTTATGTGCTAGACAATTTATGTTTATGCTTTTGTTGTTGTACTAGACATTTAATGCTTACTTATATTTTGA